GGGGGGAGGCAGGCAAGGCGGGGGCTACGGCAAGGGGGGTGCCGGGAGGTGAGGGGGTGCCAGTGCAAAGGGGGGAGCAGAGGAACGGGAGGGTGTTACGGCAAGGGGGTTTCCAAGTGAAAAAGGGGTGCAGAGAGGAGAGGCAAGCAATGGAGGAGGGTGTGAGCCTCAGGGGAGGTGCAGTGCAAGGCGGGGTGCAAGGAGACCCAGGGGTGCGATGCAAAGAGGACGTGCATGGAGGCAGAGGGTGCTAATGCAAAGAGGCACGGGGAGTGTGGAAATGCAAGGAGGGGTGCACAGAGACGAAGGGGGTGCAAGGGGCCCTAATGCAAGGGCACGGGGGGGCAAAAGGAGGGAAACGGGATCTGCGGACTGGCCTGGCACAGGTGCCCGCTGCTGGAGGGGTGCAGCAGGGTGACACAGCGCTACACCGAGCCCAGCAGTGTGGGGTGGCAGGGAGACTGCATGCATGGCCCAGGCACCCGGCAGGGTGGCAGCTGGGGCTCGTGGGGCCGGCAAGCACCCTGGGCCATTGGGGAGAGCGGAGCAGCCACCTGCCTCCTCCGTGTTTGCCGCTCGGAGAGGGACAGCCATGGTCTGCTGAGCCTCAGTGTGGAGGCAGTGCCATGGGGAGAGCTCTGGGGCGGTGGGATTTGCAGATCGATGACTTCCAGGTGGGATTTGCAGAGCGATGATTTCCAGGGGGACGGGCCTGGTGGGCATCGGCAGGTATTTTGGAGGAACATGGTGCTGTAACCCCATCCGTGTGTGTTTCTACCACCCTGCCCTTCACCTGGGTCACTGGAGTAGTCTGAGTCACCAGGAAATCTGATAAGGCTCTAATAAAACCATTGGAGTAGCATGGGGGGGTTGCTCAGCACCGTGCGACTGGGCTCAGCCACCCTGATTTTTTGGCTCCACTACCGACTTCCTGAGTGTCACGTGTGTGTGACTGGAGCTATCAAAACTGGCGGGAGTTTTGAACTGATTTATTCGCTAAACCTCAGGGGCAAGCGAGCTTTTTGGTGAAGATGCAGTCCTTAATCCTTGGGGGCACTCGGTGTGGGGAAGGCACGGGCCCTTGATATGATGCATGGCCGCTAAAACTCAAGCTTTGAAGGTTACGCTTGCTGGTTGGCATCAGTTACGTTCTTGTTTTAAGACGGCATCAGCTCCCAAAGCGCTGGACACGAGGCTGCAGGGAATGCTGCCCTTTGTCCTCCCGGCAGATGGGAGGGGAGCCCTGCAGCCTTACTGCAGCTATTTGGTGGAAATATCAACAACAAATGTCCCCCATCAGTTAAAGTGAATCATCAGCCTGAGCAGGAACCAGCTAGGTGTGTCAATTCCTCTCTTCCGCTCAGTTATGTTCTGGATAGTCAAATTAATCTGTTTTAGCAATTAAGCAAGGAATCCTGAGGATTTCTTGTTTTGAAAGGGCTTAGTCATATCTGGGTGAGAAGCCCGATCCTAGACAGCGGCAGTTGGTACATGTTTCAGTTGAAGCGGGACCGTGCGCTGGCAGCACGCAGACAACTAGAGACTTGTTCAGGAGAAAACACTGCAGCTGGTTTTCTTTGAGAAACTGTTCCAAGAAGCTAAAACTGGTACAAATGTTCCTGTGAAATAACTGGGTCAGATTTTTCCACCTCCTCGTGCCTGGATCAGTCGGCAGCTGTGGTGGGTAGGTCTGAACTGTCTAGTACCTGGCTACTGGTCATTTGCCAGCGGGGAATTCAGCATCAAATTAACTTCTTGTTACTTTGGTAGTGTACGTTCCCAGCCTGCTTGGCAGAATGATACCGGTTGGACAAGGGCCTTGCAATCTATTGAGCTCCACGAAGGCTTTCGGTTGGTGCAAATTCTTGACGGAAGTGGAAAGATATTCTCGCTTCCTCTGGATCAGAAGACAAAGACCTGGAGACATCAAATTAAATCTGTGTTCCCGAGTTAATGCATCAGCACTGCAGCACTCTGGTAGTGGCAAATATCCACGTCGAGGCCTTGGGGCTTGGGCTGCCTTGGGGCTTTTTTCAATTATCGGTGTCTCCTGTGTTAGGAGAGTAGTCCAGTCGCCTCCAGCTTTTCACGGCTCAGCCGAGGTGCTCGCCATGATTCTTGGAACTTGCATCACCCTCACACCGGGAGGGAGTGTTAATTAGGATTAAGCTTCTTAGTCTGCAAAGGGAGAGCAATGCAACCGTGTGAAGGGGCAGATGGAGCTTTAAAAAGTCCTGTCAAGCAAATTACGTAAGTTATAATACACCAGAGCTTATCCTGTTGTATCTTGGAGAGCAAAATCAGACACTGTGTATATAAGTTTATAATTTTCTTCCTTGGCCCCTGGAAATACTTCACACCTCCTGCCTTTGAGCAGCTGTGCATCCAGGCACCTTCTCTGACCCAGACATGGACATTCCGCCTGCTCCTTCAGGCCGTGCAAGCGCACAGAGCTCCCTACCCCAGCACATCCTAATACAGTACCCAGACAAGGCCCAGAGTTGCGTTCACGTGTAAATCACACAGAATTCATCCCTTGTATTGAGAGAATCCCCTGTGAAGCTTTGCTAGTCTGTAGTAGGTTTGATCAGAGGGTCTAAATATTTTCCGGCAGATGTTAACCATCAGAAGCTAAACATCATTCACATTGTACAGGGAGGTAAACCCAGGTAGACACCAAAAGCGAAGCATTTTCTGAAGTCATGCAAGGAATAGGCAGCAAATTTGCTCAAAGAAACCAGGAGCGCAGACCTTGCTGGCTGCAGCCCACACCAGCTACAACAGTATTTCCATACCTTTATAGTCCATTTCTATATTAGACCCAGCTCTTTCTTTCTCATCCTCTGGGCATTTATTTGATAAAGACAAACTCGGTGCCGCTACCTCTCTCTCTGTTTACAGTTTGCTCCTGTTCCCCCATCCCCACTTGTAACTCACAATTCCCTGAGCAAAGTGGGTGCAGGTCAGGCTTTCTCTCTCAGTCAAATTATTTTCTTTTTCTCTGGTCTGCCCCAAAAAACAGCACAAGGAAGTGGAAAGTAAAGGATGCATGACTCTAATCTCGCCTAACCATTTCAACCTGCAAACTAATACTAGTCCAGCTCCAGTGCTCGCTGGCCAGGTGCCTGCAGGACAAACCATGTTGCTTCTCTCTCACAGAGTAAGAGCTATGTCTATGAACCTTGTGTACGTGTGTGCTGTGACTTCCTAACTATGGCATGGGGTGTAAAATTTAACTTTTGTGTGCACATTCTGTTTTTTTTACACTGAATTGTCTTTTTTTTTCTGTGCATGGCATAGATTGAGGACAGAATAGGAGGCAGATATTTACTGAAAGCATTAAAAAATGCCTTTTGTCTGACTTGAATTGTTTTCCCTGAAACATAGTAAGAAGGGCAAGTCCGGCTCCCAGGCAGTTTTACTCCTTGCTTTCTTTGGACTGAAACCAGACCGGTTTCCCGAGGATACTCTCCAAGGTGGTGGTTATCCTGCAGGAGGTCGGGTGCTGGGAGGAGAGTGCCTTGTTTACATTCCCCAGTGCACCTCCAGTTCCCTTTGAGACTGCAGCGGGAAACTTCAGCTCTGACAGTAGTCGGAACCAGCAAGTACCACCAGTCCTCCTTGGCTTCAGCCACTGTTATGTCTGTCTGTCACCAGCTCAGAAAAAAAAAATCAAGCTCCTGTGCCCCAATTTTCTCTCCGTCAGCAAGTAAAACTTACATGTCAAGGGCATCTGAAGCCTGCCTGATTTCTGTGCAAAGCTTTAGATCCCCATGAGGACGGCATCTGAAAAAGGAAGATAAAACCCTGTTGTAAGGATGATAGCAATGGATCCTCATTGTTATTTGTTTAATTAAAAGAGTCTGGACAGATACAGAGGCAACAATTAACAATTATCTTCCGTAAAGAACTTTGACAACGGCTGAATAAGTTAATGGGTTATAAGATGAAGACAAATCATTACAGCTAATGGCTGGTCTGTTGTTTGCGAGTCTGAAGGTGTATGGGAGAGTCCTCACACTGCCATGCCGCGTCTGATTTAAGGGGCTTTTTGCTCCTGTTAACACGGAATAGGCAAGTAGGAATTTTCTTCTGTTGTGCAGCTGGGATTGTCTAGGAGCCATGGAATTAAGTTCTAAATGAAAATTTAAACTATTAATTACGCTTTGTTAATAGACTTTGGAATGTTTAACTGCAGAAATAAATTATAGAGAGATGAATTAATAACTTTTGATTTATTTTACACTCCCCCGCCTTGTCAGGAGGGTGCATTAAGATAATTGGGACAAGCAGAGATCCCGGCCTTGCCTTCGCCCCGGGGCCTGGTGGCAGCGGCCTCAGGGCCAGCGGCCGGGTGTGGGGGGCAGCTGGCAGGACAAGGCCAAGGGAAGGGTTTTGCAAACACTGCCACCCCCTTCCTCTTTCCTTAGTTATTTCCCGCCCCCCGCCACCCAAAAAAAAAAAAACCAACCCTCACTTTGTGCTGCCTGGGGGAGCTGTGCGCTTCACTTTCACTTCTACGAATTGCTGGTGGGAAGACCAAACGCTGGTGGGCAGGGATTCGTTTTTTCCGCTGGGACTGGGGTCACAACCCGCTGCCTGCGGGAAGTTCACGCCACCA